TGTCATAGAAACAGAATCACAGAGCCTGTTTCTTTCCTTTCTTTTATTCACTATCACAACAATTCCCCGTTAGACCGTGTGTAGACACAATATAATTGCTTTCCATGATGGGAAAAACTCACATCACGCAGAAAACGACCACGGACCATGCAGGTAGGGGGATCCTGCAAGCAGTTTATGAGGCCAAAGGTCAACAGGCACAGCACAAAACATATGAAAAAATCCCCCCTCTTCCCTGCGACAGCGGCGGCGGCGGCGAAGGTTTATTGATCTGCAGCGGCGGAGAGGAGCGAGGGACCCGCCGAAAGCGAGACACGCAGAGACGGAGTGAGAGGCAGACACTCCGAGGGGGGAGACGAACAGAGACCGGATCCCCTGAGAGGGGAGAGGAAGGAAGACAGCGAGAGGGGAGAAGCCAGTCACCGGGAGAGGGAGGGGAGAGAAGAGAACCCAGGCAGAGTCCTGGAGAACGGAGAGACACAGAGGCCAGAGAGGCCCACAGACAGCGGAGGCCGAGACGGGAAGGAGAGAATCAGGAACACGCAAGGGTGCAGGGCAGAGACAGAAAGACCATCGGGGACATAGTAGCGCCTCAATAAATGTTTGTTGACTGGAGCATGAATGAAAGAGATCAGCAGCAGAAACATGTCAGAGATAAAGAGACAGGTGAGGAGACAGCGACAGCCAGACGTTCCTGAGGATTCTTGAGACGGGGCGAATAGCAGCGCTCTGGCTCGGGTCCGCAAAGAGATGAAACACAGGCCAGGGGCACATATTTGGGCATCGGCCGTCCCCCTCCAAATTCAGTTCCCGGCTCGGTGACTCCTCGACCTCACGCTCTCACACACCCCTCCAACACAGTATCCCCATCCCTAGTTTCGGGGCCAGATTGGGAACTGATCGCTCCTATTCCAGGGGACTAAGTGGAAGCGCTGAGTGGGGGGCAGAGGGCCGGGTCGCGGCAGTCGAGCGGGGCGCTGCCCCCAGGTCTGTCAAAGGAGGCGCCGCACGTGTCCCGCCAGCACCCTCCCACGTGACCCCCGGGAGGCGGGGTCGCAAGACCCTCCCCACGTGACCCCAAGGGGCAGCGACCCTCCGCACGTGACGGGAGGTGGGCGCCAGGAGCCCGGCTCACGTGACTGGGGGGAGGGGCGCGGGAGCCTGTGGCTCGGCCGGCCCCGCCCCCCGCCCCC